TCTGTGTATGTGTCTGTGTGTGGGTATGTGCACCTGAGTGCAGGTGCCTGCAGAGGCCAGAAGAGGGCATTAAATTCCCTGGAGCTGGACTTACAAGGGGTTGTGAGCCACCTGACATGGGTCCTGGGAAGCAAATATAGGTCTTCTGCAAGAACAATAATTGCTTTTAACCACTGAGCCATCTCTCCAGCCCCTTAAGATAATTTTTAATAAAATAACATTCAGTCAAAGATGTAAAAACATGAAAGACACAGTATTATACAAAAGCTAGCTTCTTTTGTTTCAGAAATGACAGGAACAGGCAGTCTTGCATGCTTTAATTATAAGAAATAACATGCTATGTTTAATGTACTCTTAAAAAATAATCACAGGTGCAGTTTACATAAAGGGGTGGTTGTTAAGTATCATTTATGAGAGAAGAAACGGGAAACAACCTAACTTTACCACAAGAGAGTTAAGTAAATTACAGAACATCTATAGCATTGTTAAAAAATTTATTGTAATCTGTTGTTAAGTGAAAAGTCAGATCATATAATAAGATTTCAAACAAACTAACAAACAACAACAAAACAAAACCAACTATCCCTTCCAAGAACTCATGAGACAGAGCAGATCTCTGTGAGTTCTAGGCCAGCAGGTGCTACATAGTGTGAGACTCAGTCTCAAAAACAACAGCAGCAACAGCAACAGCAACAACAACAAACCAAAAGTTCTTTAGGCTGAGGGACTAATGAGATATTCAATGGGTGAAGTGCTTGCCATATGGGTATGTGGACCTGAGTCTGATCCCATGTAAAGGCTGGGGCATAGTGGTGTGTGTCTGCAATTTCAGTTTTGGAGAATGGGGTGGTAGAGGGTAGAGACTGTGGACTTTAAGTGCTCACCGGCCAGCTGGTCTACCCACAACAGTTAGTTCCAGGTTCAGTGAGAGACTCCGTCTCAACAAAACAAAACAAAGGTGGAAGAGAGAGGAAGGCATGTGATGTCACACTCTGGTCTTCACAGGCACACACAAGCATAGTCGAACACCACACATGCAAAACAAAGGCTCAGTAGGCTGAGGCATATGATATTGTGATAGTCAATCATTTTAACCTAAAAAAGCAGCCATTACCTATTATTTAACTTAATATACATAAATGAAAATGTGTGCATGTATAAACGTGTGTGTGTGTGTGTGTGTGTGCCCTTGTGTACAAAGGTATTCAAAGGGACATTTTTACATCAGAACTTTGTGGTAGTTGCATTTCTGATTAGTGACTTTATGTGATTTATATTTCTATTTAACTACATTTATTCTTAACTGTATTTTCTAAAATTCAAGTACTCCAAGTAGAAGTATCAACTTAGGAAGAGATCCTTTTTTATTAGTAGTAATTTCCATCCCCATATACTTTGATTTATCATTTTTGTTTAAAAGGCCTAAAGTAGCCAGCCGTGTACTCCTGGCTACTCATGAGGCTGAGGCAGGAGTACTACTTCAAGTTACAGGCCAACCTAGGCTACAGAGTTAGACCGTAGGTCAGTGGCAGGATGGTTGCTTAGCATTTGCAAGTCTCTAGTTTCAAAAAACAGCTTACAGTGTAAGTTTCATGGTATGGAGACTATGAGAGGCTTGTTCTGCTCTCTCTGTGCAGTTAGTGCAGGGCTGGTTTTTATTCCATAATGACCATTCAGAACATTTTGCTGATGTGCCCAGCTTTTCAAAGCCTGCCGCAGATGAACATTCTCCATGAGCCCTATCACTGGGGCTTGAGGCCAGCTGTGTCCCTAATCCGCCCCCGACCCAGATTTGAGCATGGGTTAGACTCCATTTGTCCCCCTCCCTCTTTCTTCCAATCCCGTCCCTTCCAGGTCCCTGGTGGCTTCGTCTCCCCTCACTGACTCTTCACACCGGTTACTCCAATTTCACCCTCTCATTTTATCCTGTTTCATGCAGCTGGTGTTTGTGTTTGCTGGAGCCCAGTTTGCAGTGGGGAAGGATTAAGACCCTTTTTCTTTCCTTCCTTCCTTCCTTTCTTTCTTTCTTTCTTTCTTTCTTTCTTTCTTTCTTTCTTTCTTTTTAAATCTTAGAGCTCTTGACTGCTCCAGGGGCTAAAAGACAGCTAGCAGGGTCTATATTCCCTAGAAAGAAGCAGGAGGGTTGAGGTGGGGAGGTAGTGACAGGGCTCAGCTGGCAGATGGGATAGAGATGGTCCAGAGGGACTCTGTCCTGGGCCTGCAGCATGACACAGTCACCACCCAGATGTAAGCTTGGAGCCAAAGTGTTTCTGCCTCGGAAATTAGCCTCAGCGATTGTGCTTGGGACCTTTACCCTTGGTACCTAATGAGAGCTTCTTCAGGGTGAGCTGGGAATGGAGTCTGGTTCGGCAGATGGGTCCCGAGTAAGGATAGTTTCTTTGTCTTCTTAGTGGGTGTTATTTATATCCTTAGTCCTTATTATCAGTTGAGCTTAGCCATACTCAGAGATAAGACACATAACAGGTGGCGGTGGTGTACTCGGACAAGAAAATCTCTCCTGCCTAGACAGTGCTTTACACATGCTTCCATCCCCAGGCTAAGAATGAAAGGCCAGCATTGGAATCTAGGATTTTAAAACTCAGACCAACAGATTTTGGCATGTGGTTGCACAACACTTTGAATCTAGGCATGATTTACACCTGCCGGGTTTCTCCTGTTTTCTGCTAGCCTAAGACCCATACTTCTTTTTAGGGTGATGATTACTGAATATTACAAATTCTATAAGCATCCCCAAGGATGATGTGCCATTGGCTGGCACATAGAGCATTTAGCTCCACATGTCTGAATTTCCTGGATGACATGGAGGAAGCGATCTGTCTGGTGATACATTTTCAGTATCCATCCTACATGGTACCAGATTTCCCTGCCTGAGAGCCCAGGAGTGGTAGCATTCGAACCAATTGAAAGCACTGCTGAACCCAAGGGCTTAAAGCAGAGAACCAGGGTACTTAAGAACAAACGGGTGGGCCTTGGCGCAGATCACTTAAACTGTTTGAGTCTCTTATTAATAAAATGAGGACAGTCCAATTCACTGGTTCAATAAATATTTAATATACTAGCACTGCTCTGTGTGATAATAAGAAGGACAAAGTTCTGTCCTCTCCAGTTTACAGTCTCTTGGATCCAGACTGCAACATCTGAGAGATCCAACCAGTCATCAGTAAATAGGAGGCAGTCCGGCAGGGCCAAAAGCTTCGAAAAGTGCCGTGACTAAGACAGAGGAAGGGAAAAAGACCACACACGCACACACACAGACACACAGACACACACACACACACACACACACACACACACACACACACACGACAGAGGAAGGCTGTGTGAATGGGCTGTTTTAGGTAGTCAGGTGGTCCTCATGGGGTTTTATGACTTCTGATATATTATATAAATGTTCTCAGACCTGACAACAGTTGAGTGTTTCTCTGCCTGCCGTATACTTCTTAGTCGATATTTTAGTCTAAGTAGTAGTAGCAACAGAATTAACACTTAACTAAGATCCTACTGTGTCCTAGGCATTGTTCTAAGCCCTGTTGATCGATTTGCTAATTAACAAATTAATTGTTACAGTAGCTCTATGAGGCGGGACTGTTGTCTTCCCTCCTTTTTTTTGAGGCAGGGTCTCATGTGGCCCAGACTGGCTTCAAACTTACTATGTAGTGGAGGCTGGCCTTGGATTTGTGTTGCTTCTACTGTCACATCCCGAGTGCTAGGGTTACTGGCATGTGCCACCACTCCCAGTCTTTATTCTATTTTTATGGGTTCAGAAATCAGGCACAAAGAAGGTCAAACAATTAGAGAGGGCTGAGCCGGAGCACTGAACCTGAGCAGTCTGATTCCTGAGGCTGGGCTAAGATTGTGAACCGGCTTTGATTTTTTTTTACACCAGTAGGCAGTCCACCTGGCGTGTGCGGGCTCTGATGTCACGTTGCTTGGTTTCTGATCCTGGCAGGGCTAAGCCTCTCTGCTTTGGTTTCCTCATCTCTCAAAAGAAATAGCAGAACCTGTCTGATCTTCTAAGTATGCGCTTACAACAGAACCTTCTTTCTGCTCTGTAGGGAGGCAGCCTGTTCAGACATCAGCCTGGCAGGAAGGAGAAGGGTCAAGCGGCCTCTGAAACTTCTAGAGAGAAATATACTCGTGTGCACTCCTCAGAACAACCCTAAATTCATCCAGATCGTGGAGGCTATACTTATAATTTCGTGGATGGCAGGCAGAAATAGGAGACTCTTAAATGAAGACAGAAGACAGGTGAAATCTTTGGCATGGTCTCATCACTTAAGATTCCACTTCAGGTGTTAACATAGCTGCCAGGAGAGGTAAAGTCGTATTGAATGTCAGGGTTGGAAAGGAGCCTTAGAGACGGTCATGCTAGGAGACGGGTAAACTGAGGCTCAGGGAAGCGGAGTGACTTACCTAAGGTTTCCTTTAGGGTAGCCTGGTCAGCAGCAGCAGCTATGTGAATTCCGCTTTCCCCCAGATCACGGCTTCTTCCCAAGCCCTCCATGGAGAGAAAGGTCTCATCTTGGTTCTAGGCTCTAGCTGCCCCATTCTTCACCCGCTTGCTTCTGGAGACTAGAACCCCGGGTCTCCAGCTCCAGCCCGGGTTCGACTTGCGCGTGCGCGCAGCAGCTAGCCCCTTGCTCTCCCCTCCCCTTTCCTTTTCCCTTCCCCTCCCCTGTCCTTACCGCTCTGGGGGGGGGGGGGTAAGACGCGGGGAGCCCGAACAGGGCCTCAGCCAATGCTCTGGCGGGCCGCGGGCCCGGCCCCCTCCCTCCCTCCCGCACGGCCCAATAGGAATTTACTACAATGTTGTGGCGAGCCGGGGGGGAGGGGCGCGGGCGGGCCGCGGGCCGCGCCGGCCTCGTCTCGCGGAGGAAAGGCGGGAGGGCGCGCGCCGGGGCTGCTCGCTCGCTCGCTCGCTCTCCTCTCTCCCTCGCTCCCTCCCTCCGCCCGAGGGTTTAGTCAGCCAGCCTGCAGCCCGCCAGCCCGGGAGCCGCAGAGGGCCGGAGCCTCGGACGCGGGCGCCGCCTCCTGCCATTGTTCGTCGGGCTGAAGCTGCGGCTGGGGCGGGAGCCCCGGCCGAGAACCGCGGGTGAGGCGAGGCAAAGCCGCGGCGCGCGAGCCGGTGGGGTGGGGGTGGCGCTGGCCCCGAGGGGACGGTCCGGGCGGCCGCCGCGCCGCCGCCGCAGCCTTTGTCTCCAGCCCCCTTGCAGGCCCGGGAGCCGGGGGCTGGAGGTGGGACGCGGCCTGAGGAGCCCGGGGAGGGGGCAGCGGTCCCGGCGCCGCCGAGGAGAGCGGGGGCCCGCGTTTCAAAGTTAGGCGTGGGGTGTCTTCCTGCGGAGGGGTCCCGAGTCCGCGCCGGCCTGTCAGTCACCGTGCGGTGGGCGGGAGCCCGGGCAGGAAACCAGGTGGGCAGCGGTGCGATGGACGGCGGAGGTGCTGGGTGCCGCTGCGGAGCGGAGCGAGTCCGTGGTGATGGAGATGCTGGGCAGACCCGAGAAGTCAGGCGGAATCCGAGGGCGTGGGGAGCTTCGTAGCACTCCCAGGCCTTCCCGCCATAGACCCAGCATCTTAGAAAAATCAAATCAAATCTCGGAGCCCTCCGGATCCAGTGCCTTGCTCCGCGATCTTCAAGGGGTCCCAGCGAGCCAAGGGTTAATGCTATTCTCTCAGCTCCGTGACCTCCTTTTTCAGTTCGCGCATCTGTCGGCTTGGAAATCTTTCCCTGGCTCGCTGGGCTGCCTGTACCTGTGGAGATTCTGGAGCTAGACTCACCCTCTCGTTTTATTACCAGGTGGATTCTCCTGGAGGGAGTTTCTGCCCAAACAGGGTCGTCCTCCCCGGGGATTGGCGATCTCTAGAGGGAAAGTGATCTCACGTGAAGCAAATCGCTGACGGGCTGGTTTCTGGCCACCGGACAGCAATTGCCATCCTGTTGTTCCATCCTTGAATTGTACCCTGACATAAATGACTAGTCTGTAGAGACTAAGGTTTTTGTTTGTTTTTGTGTTTTTCAGAGATACTGGAGGGTTTTTTTTTTGGGGGGGGGGTCTGGGTGATTTCACAGCTGCAATTTTGTTCCTTCTGTTTTTAGGAAAAGTTGCAAGAAATGGTTATGTTTGTATCTTGAGTGTTATTATAGTGAGTTTATAGTCTCTTGGGGATAAACTGTACTCCATGCAGTTGCTCATTTTCTGTTTTCCTATTCTTAGTCCTGGCAAAAGATTTTCAGTTGGTTTGATCCTTTTGGTAAAGCAGGATACACATATCCTTTATGTAATCTTTTTCATCTTAATTTTTTTTGCTCCTTTTTGAAGAAGTTTGTACTTTTTCCTTCTTTTCTTTCTCCCTCTTTGGTTTGTTTGTTTCTGTTTTGTTTTGTTTTGAGACAGGATCTCTCTGTGTAGCCCTGGCTGTCCTGGAACTCACTCTATAGACCAGACTGGAAATAGCCTGATTTTTCCTCCCGAGTGTTGGGATTAAAGACCTGTAGCACCATGGCTGGCCACTGTCCTTTTCTATACGACATCCATCACACCTGACTCAACTTTAACAGATTTGAAATTTACATATCTGGCTTTCTCATTCCTTAGTTTATGATTGGCCAGTGTGTATGCTGTCTGTCTGTTTTGAAACAGGATATGGTCATATAGTTCAAGCTGACCTCAAGGCAGAGGCCACTACCACCTAGGGGTTTATGGTCTTTAAAATTATTTTCTTTAATTTTATGTCTGTGAATATTTTGCCTCTATGGATGTCTATGTACCTGTATGTCTGGTGCCTTTGGATGTCAAAAGAAGGGTATCTGATCCTTTGGGACTGGAGTTACAAATGGTTGTTAGCTATCATATGGGTTCTGGGACTTGAACTCATGTCCTCTGCACGAGCAACAAGTGCTTTTAACCACTGAGCCATCTTTCCAGTCCCAGAGTTCATGGTCTTTATTTCAAACAAATTTATACTACTCTGAGAGGCAGTGCACTTAAGATGCTATTTGTTCTCCTTCCTCCTGTTCCTAAGAAAGCTTCAGAGTTAAATTGTTCCGGACACTGTCTAAAAGCCTCCAGATTCTTGGATTTTCTGCAGACACATTTTATCAGATTGTGTATGCCTGGTACCTTTGGAGATCAGAATAGGGGCATTATCTTGTCATCAGATTGGGATCTGAAATGTGCTACCTATAAATTTTGTTGTGATGGGTAGAGTTTTCTCATTATTTTTATTTTTAACTTATGTGCATTGGTGTTTGCCCACCTGCATGTATGTCTGTGAAGTATGTCTGTGGGAAGTGTCAGATCCTCTGGAAATGGGGTTACAGACAGTTGTTAGCTCCTGTGTCAGTACTGGGAATTGAACCCAAATCCTCTGGAAAAGCAACCAGAGCTCATAACCTATAAGTCATCTCTCTAACCCCATTCTCATTATTTTTTGAATATATAAAATTGGTGATCACGGCCTGATTTCATGACTTGAAAATATTAGTGGCCATCAGTGGTTCTGAAATCAGTATGTTTAGACTCAGTATGTTTCCAGGTTATCTAAGGAGCAGGCTGGTGCTCACTGGTAGAGGTGCCAGTGTACTTTTCCAGGAGTGCTCTGTCCCCGCTTGCTCTGTCCCAAAGGCTTTATTTATTATATGAGTACACTGTAGCTGTCTTCAGACACCTCATAAGAGGGCATCGGATCTCAGTACAGATTGTTGTGAGCCACCATGTGGTTGCTGGGATTTGAACTCAGGAGCTCTGGAAGAGCAATCAGTGCTCTTAACCACTGAGCCATCTCTCCAGGCCCTATAGGACACATTCTTTTTCTTCCAATTGCCTGGGCATGACATCAGTCACTTTATTTTGTTTGTGAGCTAAGTAAGAACAGTTTCAACTACTTGTTTCTTATGAATGTTTTTACTTCTTTATCTGAGTAAAATCTGCAAAGATGAAATTTTTACAAGGATTTTCTCATTTTGTTGATGAATTACAGACATTATTTATAAAATAATTCAGAGTTACTAGGAGGTAGCGCTTTGATGAGCTTATGATAGCTTTTAGCTAGAGGGGAAGCCAGATGCCAAGTGTGTGTGTTATTTTTTGTTGTCAGTTATATTTCTTAGTGTGTCACCTTTGCTGTGGCTTTGCCATGTGTTCATTTTTATCATTTTTATGAGGGAGTTCACGGTGTGTTCGGTAAAATACAGTATAACAAATACCATGGAGAGCACACTGAGTTAGATTAGTATTTTGGTTTCCTCTGCTGCTATTTAATGAATGCACAGTGAGAAGCATAAAGGAAAAACTATAGCAACGAGTACTGTTCAGAACTTGGAGGCATTAGAAAGGAGAAGACGAGTGATCTCATTCAGAACACGCTTGCTGATGCCAGATACCACCAGTTCTAGGAGAGGGTAGTGAGGGAATTAGATTACGATTAAAGTTTGTTTACACTTATTTTTCTCTTTGTAATTGATTATTACCTTTAAAGTCCTTTCATATAGAAATTCTAGCATTGTGTTCACTTTATTATAGTTTAAGTTTTGTTTTTACTTCATGTGTGCGTTTGCCTGCGTGTATGTATGTGCACCACATGCCTAGTGCTCACAGAAGAGGGCATCAGGAGTAGTGTGTTGGTGAGCTTCTGTGTGGGTGCTGGGAACCAAGCCAGAGTCCACTGTATGAGCAGTCAGTGCTTTTAATTACTGAGCTGTGTCTCCAGCCCCTCATTTTTCTATTTTTTATTATACTCTCTCATTTATGAAAACCACTTCTGTGTTCTCAGTTGTTTCTTCATTAGCTTCAAGATAAATCCATGTGGATTAGACGTTGTTTACTGAATTCTTACTCTTTACCTTCTGTGTCTGTGGATTCTTTGAGTCAATCTAGACTCCAGTTGTTCGTGATTCCCAATGTGATCTCTTTAGAAAGGTGAGAATTGTTTTTAGCTGTGTAACATGTAGTTTAGGCATGGTTACAGAAGTCTTGGCCGAGGGGACTGGAAGGGGGGGAGGGAGGATTGGCTGATGAAATGGGTAAGAACTATGACTTTGTGTTTATGTTAATAAAATAGAAAATAACTAGCAGCTGTCTTATAATTGTTACTCGCTCTCCCATGGCCACTTATTCGTGTGGGTGCTGGGGATCCAAACTCCAGTCCTCATGCTTACGGTGAGGGCTGTGCCCGGGAGCCGCCTCCCCAGTCTTGCAGCGTTTGCTTAGTTACCAGAAATGCCATAGGAAACTGGTACCACAATGAAATCATAAGGGTGTGTTTGAGTATATCATTTTATAAAGAAATGCTATTTTAACTTACATGCCAAGTAAGGTGTGTGTGTATGTGTGTTTCAGTAGAGTTTTTATGTGGGTTTTGAATTGCCCGTTTGAAGTGCTGCATGCATTCACGTGAAGGGCATTTCACCTTGCTAATGCACTAGGTACATGTTGTTGATATCCACCCCTTCCACCCCTTGTTTTTGGCCATATGGACACACAGGCAAAACCATTACAGACTTCAGGGATTTAAACCCTCAAATTTTACCTGGCAATCATTTCAGCATGTAAGAGGGACACATGAAGGCAGCCTTACAGCGAGGGCTTTCTTTCTCCTTTTTTGCTTTCTTTCTGCCACCCACTTGCTGTTTCTTGCCCATTCTGTCTTTAAAAAAAAAAAAAAAGATTCAGAGAATTGACACTGTTGCTAGCTTCCTACCTGCAGAGTTCCGTCAATCCTAGTAATATTATGTAATTACATAAACCTTTTCTCGCATGGCGTCATATGATACTGTATCTATGTTCTCCCACTCACATGCCTTTAGAGTAGTTTCTTTCCATCTGGTATTGGAATGAGCTCTTTGTTAGGTTATTTTTAAATCTTCCAGCCTTCTTGGCATCCTCAAAATAACACAATTGCTCTGGGAGGTGAGAACATCCACATAGTCTATTAGTAGCTTTTTTTCAGTGGAAATGGAAGCAGTATTTTATTTTTAAAATCATACCCTGTGTTCCTTACAGGCAAAACATGCGTTTTATGTTTCCATAGTCTCTGATAATTTTGTAAGGTAGAAAAAAAGTCAGTTGTTACCAAGTAGATAAAATTAAAGGAGAT